CCCTGGTGGCATAGTGGGTGACACATCGGGCTGCTAATCTCACGGTCAGCAGTTCAAAACTACCAGCGGCTCCACAGAAGAAAGAAGAGGCGTTCTGCTCCCATAAAGATTTACAGCCTCGGGAACCCTATACAGGGTCGCTATGAGTCAGAACCAACTCCATGGTACACCACCACCACCACCACATATAATAGCACCCAAGTACTCACTGCCCAGCTTTAGCAAATCTTAACATTTTTGCCCCATTAAACCAAGTTCTCTTTTTCTTAAGAAGTAATTGAAACCCCTTTGAAATCTCATTCTTTTCCCCTCTCCTCAGAGTTAACCAGAATCCTGTCTTTCAAATTTCTCATTCTCATGCTTGTTTTTATTCTTTTGCAACCCATAACCAGTTGCTGTCGAGTCAACTCTGATTCCTGGCAACCCCATGTGCGTTAGAGTAGAACTGCGCTCCACAGACTTTCACTGACTGACCTTTCTTCGAAAGTGCCTTTAAGTGGACTTAAATTTACACCATTTCGATCAGCAGTTGAGTGCGCTAACCATAGCCATAAATTATACATAATATTATCCATAGACTTCTGCCACTTGCTTTTTCCAATCAACGATACAGTTCTTTAAAAACCTTTCTGATTATGGAACGTTTTCAACACTTACAAAAGTAGAGCGAGAATAGTCTAATGAATGCCCATTACGCATTACCTAGTTCCAAGTATCATCAATTCACATCCCTCATACCTTTCCATCTTCATCATTTGGAAGCAAATGATATCTTTTCACCCATAAGAATTTCAGTACATCATTTGAAAGTTAAGGGCTCTTTTAAAAATCACAATGCCATTATAACAGCTAGCCAACAATTTGATAGCAATTCCTTAATATCAAATAGTCAATGTTAAAATTGCCCCAATTATCTCATAAATGCTTTTTGTACAGTTGGTTTGTTCTAAGCAAGGTCCAAATAAGGTCCACACGCTATATTTGGTTGATATATTTCTTAAGTGTCATAACTATTATACTGAGCAAAAGCAGCCCAACACCTAAGCGGACACACTATAGGATTCGATGTATGTGTCTAACAACAAGTAAAATGAATTTATTGTGACAGACATTAGGACTGTGTCTTACTCGGTGGTGTTTGTGGTGCTGGTAAGGGATACTGATGGAAGGAGGCAGAGGACCCTTTAGAGTTTGCTAGGGGTCCCGGTGTGGTGCTGTAGGATCAGCATTGGACTGCTATACACAAGGTCGATAGTTCAAACTCACCAGCCACGCCTCAGAAACCCTCTACAGAGTCCCTAGGAGTCGGAACCTACTAGATGGCACTTAACAACAATGCAACAACAAAAATGTTCTATCATCTTCCCTCATTTATTAGCTAGAATACTATACTCTGGTAGCGTAGTGGTTACGAATCGGGCTGCGAACCTTAAGGTCAGCGGTTCGAAACTACCAGCTGCTCCATGAGAGAAAGATGAGGCTTTCTACTCCCGTCAAGATTTACACCTTCAGAAAACCTGTACAGGGTTGCTATGGGTCGGAACCGACTCGACGGCACTTAACAACAACAACTATAAAGAAAAAGATTTCTATAAAGTCTTTCCTACATCAATTGTTTGATTACTCATAAGCCTCAATACAGGATTGCTGTTGAGTCAGAACCAACTTGACAGTACATAACATCACAGGCCTTAAAGGAAAAGCTTGTTAAACACTTGATTCTTTACTTAGTTTTCAGAATAATGAATCAGTTCTCCAGCATCCTCCAAAACTGACCTGTAAAGGTTTTAGTATCATAATAAAACTCGTGGATTTTTACATATTTCAATCCTTTGCACTTATATCTTACTCTGATGCTCACATGGCCCCATCTTTGGATGGGGGGAGCCTCTTCAAGCTGGTACCTGAATCCTTTTGACACGACATTTAGTTGTCGAGCTGTGTTCCTCCCTCCTGTTCCTGGGAGCTGTGAGTTAGTGCATTCCTTTTCATCACTATTTCTGGTGCTCTACATCACTATATGTTGTTATATAAGGAACCCTAGTGGTGCTGTAGGCTAAGTGCTAACCACAAGTGGGAGAAAGATGAAACTATCTGCTCCCGTAAAGATTTACAGTCTCAGGAATCCTATACACGATCGCTATGAGTCAGAATGGCTTGATGGCAATGGATTTTTGGTTTGGGTCTTGCATTGTGTCCTGAATAAAATGCAGGCATGAAGCTACTGCTTAGGTTTTTTTTTTAATCCTTCAATGTATAAACTCCATAGTCCTTTTCAGAGTTTACTGGGCACTTTTTCTTTTACTTCTTCAGGTCCACCTCTCCCTACCATCTTAAACTCATGCCATTTATGCTACACTACCTTGAATGCCCCGAACATGTCGCCCACACACCCCCTCCCACACACACACACACTCATTTTGTCAGGTACTGTTGAGTCAGTACCAATTCATGGTAACCTCAGGTCCAACAGGATGAAACTCTGCCTGGCCCCTCCCCATCCTCATGACCACTGGTAGACTTAAGTACACTGTTGTACCTATGGTGTATTTTTAGTTCCTGCCAACCACATGGACTCACCATCCAGCACTATGTTCTTGTTGCTGAGTGCCATCGAGTCAGTTCCAACTCAAAGTGATCCTGTATAGGGTTTCCAAGGAGCGGCTGGTGAACTTGAACCATTGACCTTGCGGTACAAACCAACCTTGCGGCCCAGTGCTTATCCTACAGCACCATACCAGGACACTATTCTGTTATCATCCATAAGGGTTTTATTGGCTAGCTTTGGGCCTTCCTTCCTAGTCTGTCCTAGTCTGGATGCTCCACTGGAAACCTGTCCACCATGATTGGTCCTGTTGCTATTTGAAATCTTAGTGGTATACTTTCCAGCATCATGGCGCCATACAAGCCACCACACAGGACATTGACAATTTGTGGAGGTGGCGTTCTTCCTTACTCATGCTCTTTCCTCTTTCCTCTGCCTGCAAAACATCCTCTCCTCCCCACACCTACTTGTGCTTGGTTAGCTTATGTTTATGCCTCCACTTTCATTGTAGCCATTCTCCCCATATGGACCTCTTTTCTGTCTGTCCCCCACTCCTCCAAGCTTTAGTTGGATTGGGGTGAAGACCAATATAGCAGTTCTGGGGCACTGGCTTCACACTGGAAATATGTTCAAGGTGTGTCGTCTGGAGTCGGAGTCACAAAAACGTGTGCTCACACTGCCTTCTATAGGGGGTAGAGTACCAGGCCTCTCCAATGAGCCGTGCTTGTGATTTAGGTGAGATGGTTCTGGATGATGCTGGGGGAGGCACCTGCCCACTGACCCTCTCAGCCCCAGCTTGTCTTGAATGATGCTGTGAAGTGATGTTGAGTTGGTTCTGACCTGTATTGGGTATCTGAGGAACAACTGGTGGGTTTGAACTACTGACCTTGTGGTAAGCATTATAGTGCTTATCCTACAGCACCACACAACTACCCAATAAATACCAGTAAATACTGAATAAATACTAGAGAGCATAATGTTGGAAGAAGCACCGAGGCACTACCCCACACATCTTGTTGTTGTTAAGTGCTGTAGAGTTGGTGCCAATTCATAGTGATCCTATATAGGGTTGTCAAGGAGTGGCTGGTGAGTTTGAACCACTGACCTTGCATTTTAAACTGACCTTGCAAATTCTAACCAACCTCACAGTCCAGTGCTTATCCTACAGCACTACACCAGGACTCCACACATCGTAGGCCAGCTTTATCCACCAATCATATTGTCATTGTTATACATTGCCCTTGAGTTCGCTCTAATTCACAGCAACCTTATGTATGACCGAACAAAACACTGCCCAGTATTGCACCATCCTGACAATTGTGGGTATGTTTGAGCCCCCAGTCAGAGACAGGGCTTATCTCTGTGTGCAGTATTGGCTTCTTTACTCATCTGTCTGTCCTCCCTCCTTCCACACCACACCCTCTGATATAAACTACATAAAAGCAAGGCCTGGCTTTCTTATCTCCTGCTCTGTCCCTAGCACTTAGCACAGACCCTGACTTGTAGATAGTTAGTTCTTGGTACATTCTTGTTGAATAGAGTCATTATTACTTTGGGTGGTGGTGGTTAGCTGCAGTAGAGTTGGCCTCTGAATCAAGGCGACCCTATGGGTAATGGAACTATTTTGTCCCCATGATAATTTATGGATCGATTATTTTCATCCACAGGATTTTGATTGGCTTATTTTCAGAAGTAGATCCCTAGTTTGTCTTAGTCTGAAAGTTCTGCTGAAGCCTGTTCAATATCACAGAAACACATAAGACGCTTGGTGGCTAAGCCTGAGGAACACTGGCTGGGAATTGAACCTAGGTCTCATAAATGTCATTATTGTGTGCTGTTGAGTGGGCTCCGACTCATAATGACGCAGTATAGGTTTTCTGAGACTGTAACTCTTTGTTGTTGTTGTTAGGTGCCATCAAGTCGGTACCGACTCATAGTGACCCTGTGCACAATGGGAGCAGAAAGCAACTGGTGGGTTTAAACTGCTGACTTTGTGGTTAGCAGCCCAATGTATAACCTACTATGCCGTTCAGGGCTCCTGAGTGGAAGGCAAGAATTTTATCACTGAGCCACAGCTATTGACTTGGAAGACATCTTGAGATGCTCCCCATCAGAAATTCTCAGCCCCAGATGTACTTTGAATCACCTAAAAGAGCTTTTGCAAAATTCTGATGCTAGGGACCACCTTAGACCCTTAATCCAAATCTCTGGGGATGGAGCCTGGTAGGTGTCTCTTTAAAGCTCCCTTGGTGGTTCTACCATGCAGCCAAGATTGAGAATTCCAGCCGGTTGCTCAACCCAGAGACCATGGCACATACCGAGCCGGAACAAGTGACCATGGAACTCCAATCTCCTCACAACCCTTACTCCTTGTCCCCGAGCCAGGGCCTCCCTGCTTGGCAGGTTAGCTGCGCTAACCCCGCGGCAGCTCAGTGACCCAAGTTTCCGGCCCCAGTTTGAGGACATACACGAGGTGATTGCCCGCTACAAGACGCTGGTGAGCAGGAACCATGACCTCAAGCATTCGGCGCAGGAAGGCCAGGAGAAGATCGACCAGGCCAAGGCGCAGCTGGCGCACTACATACAAGAGAAGGAGGATGAGATCCTCCAGCATAACAACGAGCTGGCGCAGCTTCAGATGCGATTCGACCGTGCCCGCAGTAACGTCATCATCTGGGTGAGGGGCTCACCAACCACCCTCCTCTACAGCCAGCCCTCCTCGATAGCCCCATCCCACCCACACACCCATCCCTTCTGCTCCCCAGGAATCTCGTTGGGAGCACATCCAGAACACCGCTGCCCAGAAGACCCTCCTGCTTGGCACCATCAAAATGGCAACGCTGAACCTCTTCCAGATTGTGAGCAAGCATATGAAGGAGCCGGCCAATGTGTCTCTGGAAGACACGCACAAACAGCTGGACGTGGTAGGAAGGCAGCGGCCTGGGCGTGGCTGAGGGGGCTGGGCCTAAGAGCGTCTAGATTTGTTGAGAGGACGCCTTAACCCAACAGAGCCAAACCCAAACCTGCTGCCATCAAACGCATTCCAACTCATAGTGACCATAAAGATGGAACAGAACTGCCCCATTTGGGTTTCCAAGATTGTAAACCTTTATGGAAGCAGGCGACTGGTAGGTTTGAACAGTGGTCTTTCCGTTGGCAGCTGTGCTGTTTAACCACTGCTCCACCAGGACCTTCCCAATAGAGCAGCAGATCTCAAATTTTAAGGCATCAGAATCACCTGGAGAATGAAAAGTACTGCTGGACCCCATCCCGGTGTTTCTCATTCAGAAAGTCTGAGGTGGGAGCCAGAAATTGTGCATTGTCAGCAAATCCCCAGGTAATAGTGCTAGGCTGGGTTCTACTACATTAGACCCAAGACCCTGTGGGCCAAGGTGGGAAGTAGCAGGGGCCCACTATTAAATTCATACATTGTGCAAAGGGTCTATGGCTTGATGAAAGCTTGTGCCCAAGCCTTATCTTGTTAAAACAGGAAACTTGCAATGTTTAGAGCAGTGATAAATTCATGTTAATAACAATCTGAGAGTTCTCCTTTAAGGAAACTAAAGAGGAAATGACTTTTTCATTGTTGTTGCTAAGTGCTGTTAAGTTGGTTCCCACTCACAGTCATCCTGTATAGGGTTTCCAGAGGAGCGGCTGGTGGGTTTGAACCACCAACCTTGAGGTTAGCAGCCCAGTGCCACACCAGGACTCAAAATGATATCATTCCATGTCCATGAGGCACCTAAAATCACTTCTTCACTCTACTACTGTTGTTGTTATTGTTGTTAAGTGCCGTAGAGTTGGTTCTGACCCATAGCAACCCTGTATGGAATTTGAGGAGCAGCTGGTGAGCTTGAACCGTCGACCTTGCAATTCAAACCGACTTTGCAGTCCAGCACATTAACCCCACAGTACCACAAGGACTCCCATAAGAGTTAACAACTCCATACCTACTTAGTGCTTCTAGTTTGTAAAAACTGCCACGATTTCAGCAGGATGCAAGAACGTGGCTTCTCAACAAGTCAGTCAGAGGAGAACAGTGAACCCCTTACACATTATACCCAAGGGCATTTCGCTTTGGGATTGGAGGGTGGCCCTTTCACTGGGTGAGGTTATCTCTGGTCCCCTTCCCTTGTTAGATCCAGCAGTATATCCAAGACCTGTCAGACATCTGGGCAGAAGTGAAGAAGAAGGAACAGTCACAAAACCGGGTTTAAGGAGGCAACCATGGTTCCAGAATGTTCTTAGACCTCTCCGCCCAGACCACTACGGATCGCTGAGCCTTTGTCCTGGCGAACACTCTGACATTTCCACATTAGGTCGGTCCCAGCCCTGAAAACATTAAATTTTATTAAAATGTTTTAAATTCTTTCTTTGGTGGTTTATTCATGAGGGAGAGAATCCGTGGGAGCAGTCACTTAGGCTGCTCAGGGACTAGAAACGAAATCCTAGGTGTGTTGACTTCTAGGCTTTGGACTAGTGGGTGTTAGGGTGGGCAACAGAACAATGGGGTTAGAACAAATGTAGGACCTTAGTACTAGGTTTGTATTAACCTTTCCTCCACCACTCAAAGATTACACACACACACACACACACACACACACACACACACACACACACACACACAC